GCCTTCCGCTCTTCTCGTAGCGGGTCACGCTTTTCGGGCTTTTCCATCGTCCGCGCTTCTGCACTTCCGTCAGGGTCCGAAATCGACGACTGATGTCGATAGACGGACCACTGTGCCGCCACTGGTACGGGGTGACGGGCAGCTGAAGGCGGGTGGCCGCTTGGTTGAAGTAGCTCAGAAAGTCGGAGTACGCGAAGTCCGACAGCGGACGGCTCCCGGCTCCTTGCACCAAGGTGCGGAAGAGGCGGGGCGCCCAAGGCTGCAGCCAAGCTGAGTCTAAGAGCACGCTGTCGTCGAACTCCCCCACTTTCGAAGGAGTACCGCCTTCTTCCGGGTTCAACACCAAGCTCCAGTGGTCTGTGACTCTTCTCGAGGGCGCGACCAAGCAAGCCACAGTGACCCGAAGCAGCTCGCTGGGTCGAGAGTAGCTGCTCAGCCCGATGAGAAGAAAAATGGCCATCCGCAACTGATGCATTCTTCTGAGCTCGCAGGCTAAAGCAGCCCAAACCGCAAGCGGAAAAGCCAGTCTCGACTGTCCCGGAGCCAAGCGTCGCCAACCTTTCAGGGAGCGCCACGCATGGGGCAGCTTCTTTGCCCCCAACTTGCTGAAGTCCGGGTGCCGGTGCATGACTGACGCAAGCACTTTGTCCCCGCGATGCGCAGGATGACCCATCATGAAGAGGTCGTTGAAATGCTTCGTGAGCGCCTCGTCCATGCCTTCGGGGTTCGCCACCATCCCGTTCACTGAGTACCCCAAAGTTTTCCGGGCAAAGCGTGTGAACTCCTCGTACTCCTTGGTGTAGTAGGCCTCCGTCTTGGCGGTCACCGCCTTCCTCTCCAACAAGGTTAGCCCCTGGTCCTTCGATTCCATCATCTCGGACACATACTTCCGCACACGATGCCGCGATCGTCTGGCGAGGAGTCGTTGCCGTCGCTTCGTGACGAGAGGCTCCGAAGTGCTGCTGGAGCTGTCCGACGACCGGCAAGTGTGCGCCACGGGCTTGGCGAGGCGGGGGTTTGCCACCACGGCCTCCAGCTTCAGCGGCTTCCGGGCTTGTTTGCTGCCCAGTTCTTCCGACAGGTCCTGACCCACTAGGATGCGCGTCCTTTGCGAGCCGTCTTTGGCTGCGAACCCCGGTGGAAGGATCCTGCTTCGCTTTGGCGGCAGTGAAGGAGCACCGGAGCCCTGCGCTAACGTCCGCACCCTCTTCGGCCCAATCACGGCCGCGGTTGCCGGCATCATGCAAAGGAAGGCTGCGCAGCAGGGTCTTTGACTCCACTTTCGAGTTCAAGCGACTAGGACCATCTGCGGGATTGAGTTCAGAGGGGACCCACCTAAAATGGACATCGATATCCCAGGAGAGCATGCCCATAAAGTCTTCGAATCTGTCGCAACAGTCTGTAACTTCGTGACCTCCCTCGCTCAAAAGCCAGAGCGGCACTCATGCTATCACACAGCATAAGTTGCCGACAACCTCTGCAACGAAGAGAATCGAGACAGGCTTCAAAGCTTTTCACAAGGGCCCGAGCTTCCAAGTGAACAATGTGCTCGGCCCTCGCCCATTCTCCGGCCTGGACGGTTTCCCAATCACGGGCAAGAAGCGCACCACTGATCTCGGGAAAATCCTGATTGATCTCCCAACCTGAGCTGTCCAAGTACTCCTCGGCGGAGAGCTCCGAAGCCCTCCACGCGCCTGAGATTTCATCCCGCACAAAGCCGGCCGCGGTGAGCGCGCTCTCCCTGGCATTATGCCCGCCTGAACGACGAAAGCGAAGTCGCTCCTTCAAGGCACCGGCTTTTCGGACCTCGTCGACAGGCCAAGTTGCTGAGCAGATACCAAAGCCCTCCTCGCTCGCGTCAGAGATAAAGACCTTGTCATTCCAAGCCCTCGACCAATCGGAGATGAGGAAGGGCATGAGGCCTGCGAACACACGCAACTCCACCTTCACCGAGGGCCAGAGTTTTACCGTGTCAGTGTAGTGCCTCTGTATGAACTTGTACACAGCATGAAAGACGGACAAGGTCCCTCGATGAAGCAGCCCACAGTATGTACAATGACCGACAACAATTTCCAGCGTCTTTCCCGAACACCTGCCCCGGCGGAGAAGCCCACGAACTCCCTGACGAACTCGATGGAACCTCTCTGGGGTGAGGGACGTGGTGAGGTTGGCACCATCCAGTGACACGCCCAAAGTCTGGATGTTATCATGTCCCACCTCCCCGGTGTGAAGCAATAAACCCTTCTGGTTGAAGATCTCGGTTAGCTCGGCGAGTCCTGTAGCCACTAGTTCCCGAGATCTAGAAAGGACGCCTAAGTTGTCGACGTAGACATAATGGTAAGCTGCATTCGGCACCTGGTCTGAGAAGTACATCGGATCGCCTTTGTCCACCGCCAGCTTGCTGTGCAAAAGAGAGGGAACCTGAGACATCAGGCGTTCCGAGATCCGCTGGGCGAAGAAGAGACTCCAACTGAACCCCATAGCCAGCGAACCTGGCATC